TCAACGAACAGCTCAGCCTAACAGCACAACCGTGACTCGACGGGAGGGATCCGCTGAGTCCAACATTGGCCACTTGGCGGGTTAAGCGACTCGCCGGGGACTAGCGCCCGACCACCCTTGACTCCCACCAAGTGTGGGAGATCCCGAACTCCTCTCAGGGCCCGAGCTCCCCTTGAGACCCGAGCTCCTCCTAAGGGGCCCCAAGCTCTCCCTTCCTAAGAAGGGAGCACCCCAATTTTTGGCTGTGTCTTGAGGGAGAAATGCCTCGGGGCTGCGCCGTCGAGACTCCTATTCGAACTTGCTTAAGGTCCGCCTCTAGTACAGGCACCTCAGCGTACCTCGGCACCTCGATGCAAGGCAAACCTGCCCCAGGTGGTTCGGCGTACAATAGCTCGGTAGGCTGCAGGGAGATCTGCTTGACATCCGTGCCTGCCTGACATCCGTACCTGCCGGATCTGGTGGCAGGGCTCTGATCCCTTGCCAGGCGGCGTTCTGCTTGCCGTCTCTGAAAAGCATGGCACACCTATCGAGTCCGTACCTTGCAATAGCAGCCTGTAGCAGCAACCTGCACCTGCCACACCTGCCCTGGCAGCAACGACTAGGGCAATGGCGGTCATGCCTGATGTGACCTAGCTCCGGTATAAAAGGATCCCAATCCTCACGAAGCGAAGGTATTGAAGGTAGCACTCTCAGCACTCTTACTCTCTGTTTTTCCCGCGAGATTTCTCCAGAGTTCTAACTTAGCCATCGAAGTGTTCCCTTTGGGAGAGCTCCCCGAGAACCCTTCACTTTCTTCATCCTCTCAGATGCCGTCTGTCACAGCTAGGAACCAACTCTCAGCCAGTTAGGAGTGCCCAAATTGTGCAGCATCAACACCATCAAATTGGTGGTAAAACACAATATAACTTGTGAACTTTCGAAGTTTTAAACTTTTAATAACGAGATAGTTACTGATTTGGTGATAAGCACCATCTAGTTAGAGCTTACTAACCAAAAAAGAGAGCCATTGTGATTGGGTTAGGTCCTCTTTCCTTTTCTCCACCTTTTTATTTATTTCTTCTTCTTCTTCTTCTCTCTTTCTCTCTCTCTCGCCTATTTTTTTATTTTCATATGTCGTGATTACTTAGTAAGTGGTTGGGATCTATATATTCATTAAGATAATACAATAAATCATGTATAAACTTTAAAAAGACCACAGTTAGTAATGAAACTTATAATCTATATATCTATTATTCAGCCAGTTTGTTTTGTTGCTTATGCAACTATAATGTTAATGCGAATATTTCTGGTAGTCCATCTATGTGTCCAATGATTACCTAAGTTGAAGCGCCTTAGTTTATAGGCCTCATTTATTTTTAGCTTCATTATACAGGGGATGAATCCTGACTTCGAATTAATGCCAAATTCACAGGCAGAATGCGATTTATAGGGTGGAGGGGCTATTAATAGAATATAGGGGATTGTAATTCAGAATTCTGCATTCAGCTGCATTGTACTTAACCCTTGTTTTTATTTACGCATGTAAGTATGTTTACTTAGGATTCGTGGTCAATATTGTGAGCCCAAATTTTGTACTCACTTTTCCTATTCCCTCTCTATCCGCCATGATTGCAGCCACACATCTCTCAATTCATAAGAGAGATGTATGACTCCAATTTATGGGGGTAGAAAGTCGGTAGGAGAAGTGAGTAGAAAATCCCGAGCAAGATTTATGGTCAACTTACCTATTGACCAACTTACCCCTCGTTAAATACCGGAAAACGAATGAGGCCTTTTAAGAGGTAGTGGCTGCTAGCTAGTCCATAGTGAATGGGCTTCAAGGCCCACTAGTGACAATGCCTAGAATTGAGTAAAAGTGGAGGGCGTTATTAATTCACAGGGCTGCCTGAATCCGATTTCCTCAGCTGTCACAGCACAAGGAATTCACTCAATTCCATCGAACCAAATAATTTGAGAATCAGAACGGCTTTTGCTACTGCACGTCTGCACCCCATATGGGTGGTCCACTGGCTAAACTTGTGTAGAGTCTAGACTCTAGAGGGAGGACCAGAGTACTAGACTAGATAAGTTAGAACAGCTATGGCTTACTGCAAGATAGGCCCACAACAAGGTAAGCTTCTTAAAACAGGAGGATGGAAGTATGGAACTTACCGATATTATGATTCCAATCCAACGAGGTAAGTAGAAGCCAACTACTACCGCAACACGAAGCATCTTCGCACCACAAAAGCTTCCCGGCATAAGTTTCGCTAAAGCCACCCCTTTGGCTACGAAGCTCGCATGCCACCGGTCATATTGTCTAAACACAAGGATTTGTAATTTGTTGACATGCCTCTATGCGTCCAGATAGGCAAATACCTATCTGTTAGGATTACAATTAGTAATTGAATTAGGAGTCTCTGTTGTAATTGAATTAGGAGTCTCTGATACATCTTATCCTTGTACATCTTCTTATCCKTGTAAACGTAGGATCTCGATTGTATATATTTCGGCATTCTGAGTAAATAAAATCAAGGAAGGAGAAACCAGAAATGCTCTGCTTTTACATGGTATCAGAGCCAAACCGCAGAAGGGGCAGAAGCTGAACTTGGGTTCAATGACGCGAGCGCAGGAGTGGCAGCGAAGAACATCAGGGAGCGATGGGGGAGAATCCGAGCCGAGAAGCGGAGGGAGAGAGAAGGATTGAGGGAACATGAGCGAACAGTTGTTGCAGTACATTGCTTGCTCTTTACCAGGCCACCGCCACACAGGAACGAAGAACATCTTGAGGACCTTCTCATATTCTACTAAATCCGCTTCCGAACCGCAGTTGATACAGAGCCCCGCTCCGGCCTTGAGCACCTTGCTCACTTGTTGCTCTACGCCTCCGACGAAGAAGAAAAACATCTCCCCTATTTTCTGTTCTCCTTCTGAAAATTGATCGATCGCTTCTCTCTTATGCTGCTAGTTTACCTCTTCTTTGATCTTTGATTTATTTCTTCTCGATTAGAAAATTGGAATGAATCGATTACTTGGAGTTTCTTGAGTTTTCTGATTCTCTACACCGCATCTCAGACATCGGGGCATTGCTTACACACTCGCACACCAAGAAACGAGCTTAACAAAGATATCATTCAGGGCAATTCCAACATTGGCATTGAAGATGCTTGACCGGCTGTCACCCGCAAAGTCAGTGGAAACCAGGTAAGTTTGGATTTTCGCCTCACTAGGTAAGGGTAGAGAACTTGGGGGTTCATTCTCTTTAACAGGTTTCCGGCGAGTCGAAATTCTACGGCAGGCTTTAGGGAGATCCAGAGATYAGTTCTCTGTCTTTTGTGGTGATTCTGCCGCCGATTGTGGGTTTTTAGACACAATAGTCAGCATGACTGAAAACAAAGAAAAAGAAGTAGGGGCAAAAGGTCGTGACGGTCAAGTCAAGGCCAACACAGCCAAAGCCTCTACGCAAGGTAATGCGTCTCAAGGAGAATCAATTGATCCAACCAAGACTGGATTAAATGGACTGAGTAGTGAGCAGTGGAACATGTTGCTCAAGCTTTTGAACACATAGAAAGAGGGGAGTCAATGACTAAGTGGTAAGCAAAAACTGTCAGAATGGATAATAGACACAGGGGCCTCTCATTATATGACAGGAAGCCTCCAGTCGATGAGAGACATAAAGAATGTCATTCCGTGCTCTGTCGGGCTACCAGACGGGAAAGCGACAATAGCAGAGAAAGAAGGCAAAGTTGCACTAGACGATCATCTGAAACTGACTAGTGTTTTATATGTGCCTAGTTTGAATTGCAACTTATTTTCTGTATCGCAATTGATTGAGGAATCAAATAGTATTGTCCAATTCACTAATAAATTATGTGTGATACAGGACCGCACTACGAGGATGTTGATTGGAG